TGCGTGTATCTGTTCAGCAGACACGACGTTTGGATGTGGTGTCGTCACGTGAATTGGCCGGTCGGTCTGGTGACTGGGCCCGGGGGGCAGAGGCAAAGGGCAGAAGAAGAGAGAGGCTCTCGAGAGGCCAATAGGGCGGCCGGCCGACTGGTACATGAGGGTGAGAGAAGGCCGGAGAGACGGGGATTTCCGCCTGTCTAGGCCTGTTTAGACACGCACAACTGACGTATTTATCCTCATGTCAGAGCCACGTGGCGGCGTGCCGACCGATACCTTTTTCGGCGTCAGCCGCAGTGCAATGGAAAGTATCGTGGGGCCTAAGCTCTGGAGACGTCTCGTCCAGGAAGCGAGGCAGCAACAAGCGAGCAGGAGGCTGGCGGCAGCCACAACTCCTTCCGAGTCACAGCAACAAGACCGCCCTGATCCCATTTTTTGCTTTGTGTGTGTGCGTCCGTTTGCGTATGCATGCTTGTGCTTGTGGCAGCCCGCTCAAATCCCATTTGTTGGTGTGTTTGTGCATTCTGCAAATCCGCTATGAACCCATTTTAGTTTGTGAATTTGTGAATTCGGCAAGTTCGCCCTGATCCCATTTTTCAGTGTGTGCGTGCGTGTGTGCGTTTATGCATTCAGTAGACCTACCATGAACCCATATTTGGTTCGTGTATGTGAATTTATGCGCGAGTATTTGTGTGTATGTGTTTGTATGTCTCTGCATTGTGTTAATTCACCCTGAACCCGTTTTTAGTTTGTGTATGTGTGTGTATGCGGCACGTTCGCCTTGATCCCCTTTTCATGTGTGTGTGCGTGTGTGCGCATTTATGCATTCGGCAACTCTTCTGTGAGCCAAACTTTGTTTTGTGTATGTCTATGTATATGCGTGTATGTATGTATGTGTGTGCATGTGGTAAGTTCGCTCCGATCCCTTTTTAGTGTCTGTGCCTTCTGCAAGTCCGTCCTGAACCCATCTTTAGTATGTGTATGTTTGTGTATGTGTGTGCCTGCTTGGGCATGTGGCAAGTCCGCCATGAGCTCATTTTTTGGAATGTGTGTGCATGTGTCACTAGCATGCGTGGCAGAGCACTTAGTAAATGTCTGCTGGGGGTTGGCCGAGGGCCGGAAACGCTCCAGTCACTGGGCCGAAATGGCTTGCGTCTGAGACGCCTTGCAGAAGAAATGAAGATAGCCTCACGAAACAAACGGGTTCCTTGTAATTAGCAGCGACCCAGACCGAAGAGGCTGTTTATCTAGTCAAGACGGATGAGACATTTTTTCTTGTTGTTGTGGCGACTTTCATTTGGTGTGAAATTCCATGATGAAAATATGCGTAACTCGATCTAATCAGAAGACAAAGACCGATTCAAGTTGTCTTGCAGTCGTTTGATGCTAAAACGAACTTTAGACTGGTGCATTATACGAGACATCCTAGTTCGGTTGTAGTGACAACAGACACTTCCAGGATTCGAATTCATTTATGTAAAAACGTATAGTTAACGCCCACATGCTATATATACTCACAACATTTAAAAGAGTAAAGAGATATATACCTATAGATCGACATCCATCTATCTGCTCATAGAAGGAATAATTATAACACATGGCGAGATTAAGCAATCCTCTCCCTACAATATTTTTCTGCTATGTGGGTAGACCAATCTTATAACTCATGATGTAGCTCAAACGGATTTATGATTCTAGTTGTAAGTTCCATGATGATGTATCGCTGAGGTATGGAAAGTTTGAATTTTATCAGCTCTTA